AAATTCGTAGGCATTTTTATATGAATTTCAAAGAAAACTTTTACTTGTATAATTGTTTTTCATTTATTGTATCCTACCTAATCACTAAATCACTTTTCTAACTAAAATGAAATATTTATTTTGAGTTTTGATTATTATCTCAAATGAAATAGGAATCCCGGTTTCCAGACCAAACTATATAATATCATGATTCAAAAAAAAAGTTTGAATCCAACTCTAATATTTACCATAAATCAATTTGATTCATTTCGGTTGTAAGTTTAGACAAAATGTCTAATGAATCATCAATCTTCTTAGAATTATCTTCCTCCCCATCTGTATCATCGTCAGTAGTATCATCACTATCAACAAGATCCTCCAAGGTAAATGTATCTATTCCTTTTTCTATTCTTTTTAAAAATGAGTCAACATTTTTAACAATTCCTTTTTTATAGAACTCCTCACAATATATACATCTTCCACTATAGCAAATCGGATGGTATGCGTGGCCACAAATCAATACAACGCCATTGTCATCAATGAAAGAAAGTTTACAAGAATCACATAACCCAGGTAACGGCGGATGAGCTGTGCTATATGCTGTAGGTAAGCATCGTAAATTTACTTCTTTTCCTAAAGTTGCAAGATAATAAATTTCTGATTGTTTTTTTTTTTTTTTTGTAATTTTTTCGGTGGTTTGTTTAACGACCTTTTTGGTGGGTTGTTTGACGGCTTTTTTGGTGGGTTGATTGATGGCCTTACTGGTGGATTGTTTGACGGCCTTATTGATGGATTGTTTGGCGGCCTTACTGGTGGGTTGTTTGGCGGCCTTACTGGTAGTCTTTTTGGCGGTCTCCTTTGTATTTTTTTTGTTGTTTTTTTTATTGATTATTTCATTGGTTTCTTCATTGGGTTCTTTGTTTATTTCTTTATCGACTATTGGCTTACTTTGTCCACAATTATAGAACATACTTTGAAAATATTGTATTAAAAAAAGGCTAGTTTTGTTGTATAAAAATTCGAGTGCTTTAGAATTATATGGATATCGTCGCACTTTACAATAAGTATTTTTAAATGTAGGATCGTGATTCACTATAAATTAATAAATAAATAT